GTCTAAATATGTAATTACAACACCAAAATGTAATTAGAACTATGATAACAAAAATAAACGATTTTTTTATGAAACAATGCAAACCTAAACAGAAGGTCTAGATATGTAATTGCAACACCAAAATGTAATTAGAACTATGATAACAAAAATAAACGATTTTTTTTTATGAAACAATGCAAACCTAAACAGAAGGTCTAGATATGTGATTACAACACCAAAATGTAATTAGAACTATGATAACATGAAAATAAACATATTTTTATGTTATGAAAAGTTGATGAAATATAACTTCTGGTAAGTCTGTCTTGTATTGAAAAAAATAAATTGTTTTAAAGTTTACAAAGTCGAGATAGTAATGTTAAGGGCGTTTTATAAGGATGGTGTTCAAGTCCAGTATTGCTCTTACTACTTCCTTTTTTTCGACTGTGTTCAGCCAGATGGCCATGACTCCATATTTTTTGCCTAAACCTAAATTTATATTGTTAAACCACACATCCTGACAACTTTGCCGCAAACCTTACACTGTATACGAATATGGGCTTCAATGAGCAAGCTTAAGCAAACCAAAGACATTTTCATTTGCATCAACTGACTTAACATGTTGAATTGGACTATTGTAATTCCAGTTTCCTTGGGCATCTTTCTCACGAAAACAGACATTATTCTTGAGATGTAGCTGAAAGATTGTAAACCTTTGGCTTTTAGTCCTTTATCAACTTTTGCTTAGGTGTTTGTTAATGGTATTAAAATATACGTTAGCTTCATCATTGTGTTTGTTCTCAGTCAAAAGATTTTCTTTCGTAACTAACCTTCATTTTACGAATGAGAGAATTGTTCTAGAATGACTGAAGGATATTATTTTAAAGTCCCTTGCTATCTTGAATATCCCATTGTTCGAGATTTTATACTTCTGTGAAAAACTTTGAAGATTCATCCTTCGAAATGCTGTAACATTTGGCTGTATATCACTGATTAACTTTCCTCGAAAATAAGTATCCGTAGTGAAACTGCACGTCATGTGTATTTGGAAATTTACTGGAAACCAAACATACAAATACTAAACATGTTATCCTTGCGCTAAACTTTTCAGCTTTAGGGATACACTTCTGTGTCAGCTTATACAAATAATTATTATAATGCAGAACTTTGTTGAAGTTAAGATGCTAGACACTTCTGCTAGCAAAGCAAAAAACCTATATGTAATGAATAATCACGAATTTAGTCTACAGATATTTGTTTTTTCCTTGTACTTTTGTTTAACTCAACCTAGATGAGTTTCTGTTTTGATCTGAAGTGATTCCGTATTATATCTGTCATGTGAAATCCATAACATACTAAATAAGAGAACTGTGAGATTAAAACACTTACAGCCCAGTATATGTTTTATATATTTTCTAGCCTATAATTATAATTATTAAGGCTTTATCACAAATAGTTACTAAAATTTTGATTTTATTAAAAGTGAAAGTGTAAAACACATAAATTGTCTACATGAAATTCATCTGTAAAAAATCCTTTTTTCAAACTTATTTATGACTAGACATTTGTATATAGCTTTATAAAACTAGTATTGCTTTAGTGTTTTAGTAAATTGACCATTAGAATAAATTTATTATCTGTTAACTTTTCTCTTTAATTGAGAAAAAAGTGAAGATATAATGTATAAAAAATGTATTTACTGAAATATTACTGAACTATATTCTATCAATGATTAGGATTCATAAACTTCATCGTATCTCCCAGTATGGAAATACTTGGAGATCTGTTAGACAAAATACAGTTGACAATAGCACAAATTAATAGACCAGCAGAAGGCTCAAGCAGCGAAGAAAATGGAGATAAGACAGGTAAGAACTTTGTGAAAGAAATTCTCTGTATCTTATATGTTGTTTGGTTAAACTACAAACTTGTTTTATCTTAGTCGTTACCAGATATTTTCCCCCTTTCCTCATCTTACAGAGGTAGTTGAATATCACTGGGGTTTCTTCATGGTTAAGAACTCTGTCTGTCTCAGAGATATAGAGAGATATCTTTAAAATCGCATAAAACACAAAGTTATCTATTACTTTACTAAATGTTTGCCTTCGTTTTGTAAGCCTAAAGTGCCTTAGAGTGGTCCGTATAGTAATGAAGAAAATAATCCCCACATCACCTCTTCACACCAGATACAGTACTTAAATATGCTATTTACAATATCTTATCCTGATTTGTTTTTTAAATAACGTAGATCTAATATCACGACAGATAGTTGGACATTCAAGAAGGAATAAGAAGTTGACCCATAATCCTACTCTGATAGCTTTATTGTATTTATTTTCTCCTTTTACCTAGTCATCCAAGTAGGATAACTGTAAATTTACAGAGTTAAGGCACTTAAATCCAGGGTTCGATATCACAGGTTGGATAAAACACAAATAAATTATTTTGTAGTTTTATGCTATATGAACTAACAGACGTTTAACCCAGAATTTGGAAGCTAAAGTTATGTTTTAGGTAAGTTGTTTATTTGTAGGAAAGTAATTGGTTAATCAATATCTAGGCTCTAAAGAACTTACTAATATATAGGAAATACTTTTTCAACTTCTTTTTTGGAGCCTACATTTTATATCTTCTGCGTTCTTATCGCACTGATGCATAGTTTTTATTGTATTCGGTTATGAAACTTCGAACTGGTACTTTATTATATACAATTATTTGTCGAATTGCATTTTTCTGAATCATTTAAGCATCACATATTGAACATTTTAGAAATTAACGCATACAAATATAGGTTTGGAACAAGGATAGGTACAGGTATACATGTTTACAATCGTCAAAAACCTACTTTTTAGTATAAATATATAGTAATGTAAATATGTATGGATGTGTGTTGGATTCTTCTACACTAGGTGTCTGTGGCTTGTTGGCGATAAATTCAGAAATAAACGAACAGCACGCATTCCACTTGTTTTCAAAATAACATGTATATATATATATATATATATATATATATATA